AGAGAGGGAGAGAGAGAGGGAGAGAGAGAGAGAGATAAAAAAATATCGGGGTTTTAGTTAAAGCCCGTTGCTTATCGTCTGTTAGTCCTTGACGTTGTCATTTGTTCCTTCAGAACGTCTCAGAGGTTGTCTGGACTCCTGGAGGCAGGGTCAGAATGTGCAGCGGTGGCGCCGGACTCTAAGGAGAAAGCTGAAACCCAGGTGGATCCTCTCCCTGCGCAGACGTCGGCAGCAAAAGCCTCACCGCCTGCAGGAAACCCGGCAGGTCTCCCCACAGACTCCTCACCGTGTCCCACCGAGGGGAAGGACGCCACGCCATCGCACCTGCGGACAGAACAGCTCCCCGCCATGGAGTACTGCGTGCTGCTCTTCTGCTGCTGTATCTGTGGCTTTGAGTCCACCAGCAAAGAGAGGCTGATGGAGCACATGAAGGAGCACGAGGGCGACATCATCAGCATTATCCTCAACAAGGAGCAGCACCAGCAGGAAGCAGAGGCTCAGGCCAGCCTCTAGAGGGCGCAGATTCTCTGCTGTGCCTCACAAACAGCACAGATTCAGGAAAAGTAGGAAACGGTTCTTCAGAGGAAGGTTATTTTAATCCGTTAATATTTATGTCAAATCATTTCATTTGTAGGAAGCTTTGCTCCAAGTATGAACAGTAATAAGCTCGCCCATCAATAAGCCCCAGCCTGCCTGCAGAGGCTGAAAAGATTTCAACATTTCCTCCCTGATTTCATCCACTTTATACGATGGCAGCTCTTATATTCCTACTGTAGTGTTGAAGTTGTTTCATCCGACCATATTTAAGGTTTTATTTGGTCACCAGTAAACCTCCATCTGTGCCTAAAGGATCCGATTTCCGTTTGAACTGAAGGAATCCGTTTGTTTTTATGTCCTTTAGCTGCCGGAAGACAAGACTTCTTCTTTTCTTTATTTTAGTCAAAGTAACGTCGTTTTACTTGATGCATGGTTTATAAAGTGGCTTCTTTAAAAAGAAAAAAGGAGGAAATGGAGGAATGACGTTTTCTAACAGTAATAAGTAATGACTGAGGTTTAGCTTGAAACGGCTGTTGATGAACGGAAAGATTAAAAAAAGGGAAGTTTTTTTTGTTTTGGTTTATTTTAGAGCCGATGTTTCATCTGCTGGTGCCAAGGTTGTACAGTAGGAACACGTTTGTATCACGTTTGTGGTGCTATGATCCTTTTTAAAGCTAAAGTTTGAATGTATTTTTATAACCCTCCCCCCCACACACACACACACACACCGTTTCTGATTTGTTTGTAGTTTAATATTATTTGTATTTTAAGTTCAAACCTTGTGACCGCAGCATTTAGGAGCTAAACACTTTGAAATCACGCCTTTCTCAGTGTTTTGCCACCTTATTCGTGTTACCCATGATGCTTTGCTTGAACTGTGTTCGGCTTTACCAAGTGTAAAATCCAGCAGACCGAATGTGGGACTATCAGCTCTTCTGCTGCGTTCAGACTGCAAGCAGCAGAAGCAGCTAGTTTTCATGCAAAGTCGGGGGTTGACTCACATCAAGGTGCAGCAAGCAAACCGCAGCGCGATTTGAGAATATAAAATAACAGAGACTAATAATAACAGGAGGTGAAATGTAGCTCCAGACTAGCAGGGCGTGTGGTGATGTCATCAGTACGCTTCTGTCCCAGTTGACCCATATTTATGCTGCGTGCTCCCGTTCTCCCAGAGTCCACACTTTCCTGTGTTCTTCTCAAGAACGTACTTGGAGAGGACACAAGTCCGTACTCACTGTTCTTGTGAATTGAGAAACGGCCTCAGCGTACGCTCTGTCGCCTAGCAACCGTGACAGTTTACACACAATTTGTCGGACGCATAACGAGGAGTCTTCCAATCCGAATATACCTTGGTGCCGCGTAATGACGTAATCTGACCTTCCGAGGACGCAGTCGCTCGATCCAAACACACCGTCTGCGTTGAAGTTTCACATTCAGTAACTAAAGTGTTGCGTTACAGCAGCCATTTATAGTTTAATAGGCCTGTTTTTTTCTGACAAGTTCAAAGTAGAAAACAGTTTCTGATCCACAAATCTTTCCATCATATTGCGTACGTCATACATCAGCTTACATGTTCTCATTAATACCAGCGTCCAGGATAAAGGTTCTGTGTGGTCCGGTGGAGCTCGCCTCTCTGAACCAATCAGGAGGCCACAGAACTGAACCTAAACTTTACTCCTCCTTGAAATGAAAAACATTTAGATTCTTTGCAATAAGCTTATAACACCAGTTTGATTAGGTTTAAATCGGTTCCATTCAGGTTCAGCTCAGGAAGTTCAGGTTCAGCACTTCACTGGACAGAACCAAGACTTTCAGCTGGACTCTTGAGTCCATGAAGTTAACCAGAACCTCCAACCTGTACTTTAGTTTATAATGATTTACAGTATCGATTTTTTACATGAATAAGGAGGGTTAAACTCTGGAATCTGATTATTCTCTAAACATAAATTGCCTGTAAACTCAACTAAAGACCAATTTATGTTTCTGACGCATAGCCTGTGCAACCGTCAAATCTGTCTCTGTGCGCGACCACGCCCCACCCCTGCGCAGAAGTTCTGCAACCGTCGTTGTGCACCTCAAAAAATCCTGACTACGCGTCGGACGGTGGCAAACCTGAGCAGACGAAAAGCAGCTGTGATTGGTCTTTGATATGCCTTTCTGGCTGTCTGTGTGGTCGTCCTTCTCCATTCGGTGCCAGGGGGCGTGCCATTACAATGGACAACTACGGCGAAAGGTTGATCGAGGAGGTTCGGAAATACCATCCGTTGAAGTTTTCCTGAGTTCTCCAATAGGCTTCCCCTTGCACTTTGGCGGGAAACTGCCGTGCGTCCTTAGAATTTTCAGACAGATGGTGCAGAAGCATAGCAGCAAAACTGGTTCGCAACCAGATCCATGCGACATTTGATGTGTGCGGTTGCAGAAGTCTAATCTGCCCTTAAGTCCTCACATCAGGTCCCACCTGAACGTCTACAACCCATCATCTTCACCAGAGCTAAAAATAACCCCTGGATCAGCTGAACCAGCAGCTCGCTGCGGTCAGGGAGCCCTCAGGGTTTAGACCATCTGGGTAAACCCTTGAATAGAAGCAGAAAATCCAACATTTGTTGAATCTGTTGCCCATTATCCTTTTTTGCCATTGTATCCTTCCACCCATCATGAAGAAGACTACACATCTGAAAGGATGTGTCCAAAAGTAGAGCGTAGCTCAGTTTAACTGGTTTTATTCCTTATTAAACCCGTCTCCGTTATCTGCTACACCCCACTCCTCGAAGCAATGCTTTGAAAGGTTTTTCTAACTGAAGCTCGTGTTGCTAGCACACCGATTGTAAACATGAATAACTGACACTTCTACTATCATAGATATATATTTATTGATAATGTGTTGTATATTTGGTGCGTTTGAGCACTTGGATATTCCTTCCGTTATTTTTCTCCCCATAAGCTCCGCTCAGCACCACAACCACATGGCCTTTCTTCTGTGCCGTATTTTTGTTAAAAATCAGTGACCTCTTGCCTGTTTTGGATTTTGTCTGTTTTTTGTTTAGTTTTTTTTTTAGTTTTTTTTTTTTGTTAAAGGATTTGTTTAAAGAATTAGAATTTTCATTTTATTCTGAAAGCTTTGAATGTCCCTGATCCTCAGCAGCCCTTCTGTCTTTTTTCAGGGCAGTTAACGCAGCACTCTAAGGTCCTGATCTACCGAAGTTTTTCCAAAAAAGTTAAAAAACAATCAACTGGGCTTTGTTGCCAAGTTTGAAGACGTTTCGCTGCCCATACCTCTTCACAGGTGAACAGAAAACCTCGCCTATTCAGCCAGGCCAACAGTTCCCTTTAAAAAAAAACCTTTCAGAGACATAGGCAGGTATGGGGCATTGCAGACTAACAGGAACCCAAACGACCCCCATTCCAAAGGAGTGGACCCATTTGTCAGTTCTAATTTGCATGTTTTCTAAACTAAAACAAGATTTTGATGGGCTGCTATATAACAGCCTCAAACTCCACGCTATTCCTGAAATTTTGAATTAAAAAAGCTTCCTGGATGGAAAAGAAAACGTCTTCAAACTTGGAAACAAAGTCCAGTGGATTGTTTTTTTTTGGAATGTCTATGACCTGGATGACTGAGAATCTTCACCAGCATACTAAAAGTCTGCCTATAAAACGGGGCTAACTTGACTGCACAGGAAAATGTGATCCACTAAACAGTCGCAGCCAGAACTGCATCTGGAATTGTTTGAAGGATGCGTGCAAGTAGAATACATAAAGGTCTGCAGGCGTGGTCAGAAGGAGGCATTAGTAAGTTGTACACAGGAGAGATAATTCATGTCCATGTAAACTAACCCAAGGCCCTGTTATATATGACAAGATAATGGCTGCTCTTTGGCTGTAGAAACCTCCAGTCTAGAAGCTATAGTTATTGCTAATCAGCTGTTTGACAGATGTATTTTCCCACTGGAATTCTTTGGCAGTATCAATAAAAATGTGTTTCTATAGCACCCATTCACAACGCATGTCATCTAAGGTCACTTTCCAGAAACAATTCATACTGTCTGTTTCTGAGGAAAACAAGCTGATTGCATCCAATCATTGGCCATTTCTCATGCATACTTCTGCGTTCTCCATAAGCATAACATTAGAGTTTGAACTAACAGATTCTGCAGAATGGGAGAATAGAGATAGATTGAAGCAGAATAATGAAAAGGGGTCCCTATATCCACCAGCAGTCTAAGCCTATAGCAGCAGTCGGTACACCCGTTCCACCATCGCCAGGTTAAGTGTTAAATTTACTGACTGTAATTTACTGGGACTAATTTCAGTGGCAATGGCACTAATTTGTGTTCCACCCACATAAGTAGTTGCGGTGAATAACATATTGTTTAAAGGGGCTAAAGTCCTCTGCCTGTTTCCTCTCCACATTGCCATCATACCTGCCATCTGTGCGCAGTGCTGTTCTATGTTTCGGCTGATTTCCAGTCACCAAATAATCCCCCTCTGTCAATCTGTTAGTATAAATAGTCTCAGTAGATCAGGGCCTAAGTACATAACACTGCCTCAATGTTTGATTACTCACCAGAACTTAAATGCTTATATTTTTAACCCCAAGAACTGACATTTCTGCAAATTGTAAAATATTTTCATAGATTGTTTGTTAAATGTTTTCAAATAGCTTTTGTCATCATTTATGATCAACTTTTTAAGAGAGATCTCTGTTTTCATCGAGCTGTGTGCGTTTGAACCAAAGGCCATGTCTGCTCTGAACCATATATTTTTACGCCCGTATCAAATTTTGTAACAGTCAACAGGAAAGCTTCTCAGACTGTAATGTGACACTTGCTTTGTTTGTATTTATTTTTGAACATCCCACAAAGTGTTATTTTACTTTGCCATTGTATCTTTTGCTAATAAAGATTGTAAAACGACTGCAGTTTAAATGTTTATTACAAGTTCAATTGAGTTTATTTATATAGCGTCAATTCATGACGCATGTCATCTCAAGAGAGCACATCTAGCCAGTCTCAGTCAGAGAAACAGGACTACACTGAAAAACAGGCCAAGCTCAAACATCTTTATACAAAGGTGTTGATGGCAGCAGCACAGCTGATATTTCTCTCCAGGATGGAGTCACAGCCAAACAGGAACAGAACAGATAAAGCTACGATGAGAAAAAGCAGAGAGAGCAGAATGTTAGAGATTGAACTAATAGATTCTGCAGAGTGGGAGAAAAGAGAATTAAGGAAAAACTGATCCCTTTGTCCTCCAGCAGTCTACGCCTATAGCAGCATGACTATAGAGATAGGTCAGGAAATGAGTCTTTTAAATGAAAAAATATGCCAAACAGAAACTTAAGCTGTGAGAGTTTAAGGGGAAAATAGGAAAAGTCAGAGCAACTCATGGATAGCAGGCAGAGCACTGAAAGTTTATTCCATGGAAGATAAATAATCCAGTTTTAAGAAAAATGTGGAAGAATTGAAGTTTCCCTTTATCATTTCTTGGCTGTTTTAATTATCTCTACTTTAGTGTTTTTGATTAAGCAGAGCGTCTAAGTAGTAATCCCTGATGACGTTCTGTTGCTGCTGGTATAGAAGTCTGCTTCCTTGGGTAACTGAACACCAAGCAGGATGGCAACTCATTTATCTCTGTAAAGGCAGCAGGATAATAAAGGACGCAATTAAAACTTCCCACAGATCAGAGAGAGAGAGCTGCAGCGAACTGAGGGCATCACCAAATTCACCATTAGGGGCCAGTTTATTGTACTGGTATTTAAACTGGAATCAACTACTTCGATCAGGTGAGGCTAAGCTTTTAATCAAAACTAAGGTTGCAAAGGTGAACGAGCCACAACTGGAACATGCTGATGGACTCCATCATCCTCTTTACAAACCAGAGAGTGTTCGACATAACAGAGTGTGGTCAATGTGGTGTTTTTTGTTTACAAATGATTAAAAAATGGACAATGATTAAAAAATTTATGAATTAGAAACACTTTAGATGACGTTAGACCATCAGAATCTACCGAGCCCAGATCTATAGAACGCCCGTGGGCTGTAAAGAGAAGGAAATCCTCTCTCTGTACATCCAGATAGTCTAAAGGATCACTAGAACCCCTCTCCATCTGTGTAATTACTGAAACATCTTTTGTAAAAGACATCAGGCTAATGCTCCACTGAACCGCCTCCAGAGCTCCTCCAGACTGTGGTGTGTATTTCGAAGCAATCTGGGGCCGAACGCCTGGAGGCCCCAATGAACCAACATCTGGGGAAAGGAACATTAGCCTGTATTTTAGTGCCCTTTTTTAATGTTTTTAAAGGAATAGTACACCCAAAACATGATTAGCCTTCATTTTCTACTCACCCCCATGCTAAACAACACTCTGGAGTACTTTTTTGATATCTCAAATGCATCTGGAGATCTGGGAGGCTTCTTGCTGTCTGCTGACATTCAAATAATGGAGG